GGAGGAGCAGGAGAAAATATTATCATTCCAACCGAGAAGAATGCCTCCCCTAGATTCAGAAGCTTCCAAAGACACCCAAGAAGAAATGATGCCACTCCCTAGAGAATTGAGAGTACAAGATCTGAAGGATTTGAGTTTGGTCTCTTGTAGTCCAACTAGGTCCACTTAGCTAGCTTCAAACAATCCTTGACCAATCTACGTTTGGCGGGGTTATTTAACCCCCTAACATTCCAAGAACCAAATTTCATTGGCACAAAAAGAAGATACGACTAAGGAAAAAGATACCCTAAGAGAGAGAATCTCCTAAGCGCACCAAACTATGAATATCTCTTAACTCCTGATTATCGATAGGATCCTTAATACCACAGTTAAGAGAGATTTCTTCCAACCTCTCGAGATTGAGGGATTAGAGCGGCTGAGTGGATACAGAAGAAGAAGATTTGGTCTTGGATTTACCTGGTACTTGCTCTTTCTCATCAGAGCCAGATGCCTCTTAACAGGATGAGTCGACAGGGGACCCCTGGTTGATCTCTTCTTAGCACCCTTTGGTTGCTTGTGAGCAAATTCAAACCCTGGAGGGGGGGGGGGGGGGCTAGTGAGGAAGCGATATCCATGGAATCTGAGAAACTAAGAGCAATTGACTTGTCTCCAAGAGCTGGGGGTCGAGGCAGGATCCTCCTCTTCCGACTGCAAAAGAACATGATTTAACAACTCCCAGGATGCATTAGCAATCTTGATATTCACATCTTGGAAAGAAACTTCCATCAGATCCGAAGCTTCTACTGAAGGGGGGTTAGGGGAAGGGTTTGGAGGAAGACCTTCTGAAACACCCATTGACCTTTTTCCTTTGGGGTCATCTGAAAGAGGGGGAGGGTCAGTCACTGGGGGAGCTGCAACCGACGAGGCTTGGGGGGATGGGCGAGCAGAGGGAAGGATCTTCGATGATATGGGCTGTACACCTTCATTACGGATGAAAGATTCAAAAATGTCCCTGCAACTTCCCAGACTAGCTGAAAGGGGAGTACCTACAACCCTCAAGCGAACTGATCCCTCCATAATATGAATGTTATCAGGAGAAGCATATCTGAAGATGACTTCTTGGGGGATCTCCGATGGATCCTTAATATAGAGCATGAGTTTAAAATATTTTGCCCCCCTCTTAAACATAATATCGTCTGACACAGTCATAAGCTCCCCAACATCACCGAGCAGAACCGATAAGAACTTTGAGTCCCAGAGGTGGATAGGAAGCTTAAGAATTTTCACCCAAACATAGACAAATTTCGGCAGCGCTTTGAGGCCTGATTTCTCAGACCAAGGGGAAAAGACACAACCAAAGTTTCCCATGCTAAAGAAAGATTTAGACCAAGCGTAATCCATACTCTCTGCGTCAGGGAACTGAATAAAGTAGGATGAAGATGAAGCCTTCCGAACAGCTGTTTTCCAATTGTCAACTTTAAGGTGGAATTCTAGATTCTCAATCAACTCCTCTAGGGTAGGGTTACCAACTTGGATCTGAAAGAAATCGAAAAGGGAGAAATCTTCCATACTACTAACCACTGATTCAGGGAGAGGGGCGTTAGGGATAAAGAGGGGAGGGGGTCAAAAAGAGGACTGTCTAGAAAAGGGGGGGTTGATGCTGTGAGAGAGAGGTTGATTTCTATTAGGGCAGCATAACGAAGTATGCCCTACCAAGTTGCAAGCAAAACACTTAAAATCTCCAGGGGAACAGTTTTTCGCCATGTGGTCCCTGTCTCCACAAAAAAAACACCTAGAGGGGTTTTTAAAAGATTGGGATAGGGAGGAAGAGCTGGAAGATCTAGGTCTTTTTTTGCCTCCTCTTATAAGTGACTTTGGTCCACCATTCTTCAGGAAGAGGAAGAAGGCCATTCTCAGAGGAAACACGGGCAGGCTTAGCTTTCTTAAACAGCTCAGCAAAAGAGGGTTTTTTGGAGGGGAGGTGAAGGGAAGGAGGCTGAAAAGAGAAGGAAGGATTAGGGTTATGGGTGTTGGAGGAAAAGGGAACTCCTGAAGCAAAAGGATTCTTGGTAGAGGAAGACGGAAGAGAGGGAGAGATCTGGGGGATATGGTGATTTTACCGTTCTCGAACGAAACGATTCGACGCCTCGGAACCCCAAACGCCGCCTTGGGAAGGTGCGCTTCCTGCCGCCTGTCCAATCGCCCGCTCCTCCTGTCGCCCATCGCTTTAACCCTGTGATTTATGTGCATGTATTGGATTGTTACTTACTATTCATTTTTTCCCTATCTTTATTATTTCCTAACCAGTGTCCATGAGCCCCGTCAGAAAAACCGAAATAAAAAAAGAGTTATATATAAACTATATCTTTCAATAGTTGAAGACATGCTTGTCTTAAGATTGTGACATCTTACCTAAGGCTGCTCCAGAAGAACAGTTCATGTTCCACATTACATATTTCTAGTTGATTGCTTTTTCATGGTGCAATTATCTACTCTTAAAGTGTGCAGTTCATTCCTGAGACAATACTTTAGTACAAATATTAAGTTAGAGGATAATCAGAAAACAGTGGTAATTGGTTAAAATACCTAAAGGTATGGAAGCGAGTGGAAGTGAGCCAACCTAAAAGTTACATGCTTTTTTATTTCCTACGAGTGTGCTGATGTTCAATGTTCCTTTCAAATAGTATGAGCAACTCGGCTGCAGTAATAGAGTAATATAGCTACAAATTATAAAGTCATACAGCCTGGAAAAAGTACTAGATTCCAATATCACCTGTCCTTTTCTCAATAATTTCACCGAGCTATATCTCAATACACCTACTCATTTGATCATTTGATTACAGAATTAGACCATTCCTTCTCTGATCTAGCGTTCTTTTAACGAAATTCTCTTAAATTGTGATCAGTTCATCGATCTTTTTGGGTCAGCATAGATAAGCAAAGTGGTATAGAAATGACCATAATCTATTATAGAGAAGTCGGACCCAATCTGAAAGTTATTGAACCTAAACAAAGATTGACGGCCAAATTAATCTTAGAGTTTAAGCTATTCCGAATTGATCTCAATTTTATATTTAAGCTTGCTAGATATTTGACACGTGCAAATGTGTATGTTTGAAAAAAATATTGACTGATTTTGTAGTTTGATTATAAGGACTTGCTTGAGTTATTATTATTATTAATTTACTACATTTCATATATATAAAATGAGTTCTGTAACTAATACTCTTGAATGGAGAAAGTGAGTTAAAATTTGACTATTCCCACTTGGTTTTCAAAAATAGCTAGAAAGATATAAAGTTATACTCTTGTATTAAATTCCCAACATAATCTTCCAGCATATCAATCACAATATTCTCTTCCATAAGCATGCACCACAAAATCCCCACGTTTTATTGATAGAAATGCATGTAACTATAGCATGTTTTGTTGCCTTATAAAGCCATATCATATTTAGGCAATAATTAGAAGAGAGGTAGTCATAGCTTATACAAAATAAGATGGCTTCCTCTCTGTTTCTCATCTTCTTCTTAGGGGCTATTTGGTTCGCTTTTTAACTCCGTGGAAAAGTTTTACACCGCCTCCACATAGGATTTTTCGTGGCCACGTTGTATATAAGTTTTCCATCGGTTTTTTTTCCTCTTTGGTTCTCTAGAGTTGAAGAAGGGAAACGAGGGAAAAATCGCCACCACATCAGTTTTTTTTTCTCTCCCCCAATTCCTTTCTCAACCTCGTGAAATCAACGAAAACTGCAGTCACGTCGGCTTTTTGCTTTCCTCGTTGATTTCTTCAGCGAACTATACTTACCTCATTGCTCTCCTCCCACCAGAAACTCCTGCGACCTTCTTTGTCCCTGTATTCGAAGAAAATTAAGGGAGGGAGGGTCTGATCTTTGCCGACAATATTCAGATCTGATATTTGTCGACGCTATTGCTTCATAAATCAAGGTAAAAATATGATTTTTTTAAATTTTCTTATTATTAGTTTAATTTACATCAATTATCTGAGAACTTGGGGGGGGGGGTGATCATTTGCAGACAAAATTTTTCTGATTTTTGAAGCAATTTTTCTGATTTTCCTATTTTTTTTGAGATTTCACAGATAAGAAAAGATGATTAAAACCCTTCGAATATCCAATCATGGAGAAAATTTTGAAACTTCGTAAAATTTCTACGATTTTAGAATGTGTTTTTTTTGTTTTAGCATTATTTTGATGGGTTTTGAGAAATTTCTGATGCATTGTTTGTATGTCTTTGTCCACGAAAACTACAGTGACGATTAGATGACATTTTGATATATTTACCATGCTTGATTAATAAAACTCTGATATGTTACAGAGTTGATCTTAATCTAGAGCTTTCTTTAATACTTATCAATGTTATTTTTTTCATAACGCAAAAGGGGATAGCTCTGATCAAAGAACTTGTAGATATACTAATAATTTGTTAACCTCACAGGAGAATTAGGAAGGCTCTCCGATGAAATGTGCATGGTCTGCTCCTAAGATTTCCTGACTATTCGTGTGAAAATTTCTGAAATTAAGTGATTCTTGTTCTTGAATTAGTATATAGTATCCATTTATAATTTTAACCAGTGTTAGCGTGTTGTTAATGTAATTTGTCATTGTTTGAAACTTTCAACATTTAGAGAAGTGAGGAACTTAGACTAAAAAAGTGGATTTTATAGCTAAGAAACCAAATTTTTACATGGAACTTTCAACTGACACAATGAAGATCAATTTGTGGTTTTTTTAATTATATGATTATTAGATAGTATGAAAATGTTAATGTAGTGTGTTCTTAATGCAATTTATCTCATCTTAGGAGCTAAAAGTTCATATCTTTATTAATTAAAAATGCTATTTATATCACTGTAATATTTTTTGCTTAGCTATTGCAGTAATCCGTGTTAGTAATTTGCAAATTGTAAATTGTAAATTATAATTTGTAGTTTGTAATTTGTTCATATTTTGTTAGAATTCGACTTAGTTTCTAATTGGATAATGATTTTTTGCATCATAGATGGATAAAGATGGTGATTGTTCCGATGAACAAAGTGTTGTTAATATGGTTCAAGGTGTTGCCCTATCCGTTCTAATTATAATAATTACTATCATAAGGAGAATGCGAGCGAGAAGTAAATCAATTCGTAGTGGTCCAATTAAGGAAAAAAAAGACAAGAGAGAGCTAGAATTGAGCACATAGAGCAAATTTATAATGGTTTTAGTGATAGTTGTGTGAATTATATAAGAATGCGGAGTGGTGCTTTTGTTAAACTAGCGAGTATAATGATGAACAATAGCCTGCTAAAAGACTCAAGGAATGTAACAATAGAAGAACAACTTATCATGACACTAAACATTCTGGGTCATAAATCTAAAAATTACATAGTTAAATCTCATTTTATAAGATCAGGGGAAACAATTAGTAGATATTTCAACAAGGTATTACAAATAATTATTTGCCTGCATGGACAGTACATGAGATAAGCCACCAATGACATTCCCCAAGAGATCGTTAACAACCCGCTATACTTCCCTTATTTCAAGGTATATCTACACTTTAAGCACATTTAAATGTATAATCAATGAAAGTAAATTTTAATTAGATGTGTGATACACGTATTATAGGATTGCATTGGAATGATAGATGCGACTCATGTTGATATTATGTTTCTGATTAATCTTGTTGCATGCTTTTGAGGCCATAAAGGTATTACACAGAATGTGCTTACAGCTTGCACCCCAAACAAGCTGTTCACATATGTTCTAGCAGGTTGGGAGGGGTCTACAAATGATTATAGGATTCTTCAGGATGTATTGTCTAGACCACAACCACATGGATTGAGAGTCTATGATGGTAATTAAATAAAGACTTAACTTAAACTTACTAAGTTTATTATTCAAACTTGACTTAATAATTTTCTTAATAAAATTGTAGGTAAATACTATCTATGTGATGCTAGGTACCCGACCATGCCAGGAGTCATCTCTCCATACCGAGGTGTTCGATATCATTTGTAAGAACATTCGGGTAAAACACCTAAGAATAGAATAGAATTATTCAATCTAAGACATTCTTCATTGAGGTCTAAGATTGAATCTGCATTTGGCACATTGAAGAATCATTTCAAGATGTTGTGTGCTAAGCCGCATTATCCTTTTCCTATACAAGTAGATATCGTATTGACATGCACAGTACTCCATAATTTCATTGCAACTGTGGATCCAAGTGATGAACTACTCAACAATGATGATTTTAATGAAGACATTGATAGTGAGGTGGCCTTCGAGAATGATACTAATTTAGTTGATTTTACTCAAAATCAAACCCAAAGAGAGCAAACTGAATCAAGAAATGAGTGAAAGACACTTAGGGATGACATTGCTTGGGCGATATGGGTGGACTACTGTGATAAGTATAATTAGGATGTAACCACAGAGAATTGATTTTTATTTATGTTTTATTTATGCTCATTCACATGTACTCAATAACTCTATTTCCATTAATGTCGTTCTGTTATTAATTCATGTATTCATGTTTTACTTTTTTAGTTATCTAACTTTCTCTATTTAATTAGTAATGACTGATAATACATTATTGAGTGGGAGAGATAATAAAAAAGGCAAGGGGTAGTTCCATCACCTTCCCCACCACCTCAACCCCCTCAGTCTGTGCATCATGGTAATGGTGTGTATTTTCCATTTTAGCAGTCGTACTTTGTACAACCACATCAAGCATACCCGTACATACCATTCCACAATAGCAGTTACTTTCCAATGCATTATTATCTAGGGTCATATACAAACATGCTGCATTCTCCAACTTTGCCTCCACAATTTCATAGTAAACTTAGTGGGTGCAGCTTTCTCACACTAGTGGTAATGGATCTACTCCCGAATCAGGTTCCAAACATGACCTCGTAGAAGAAGGGGTAGAAACATCACTAGATCCAAAGAAGAAGAGGAAAACACCACATCCAAAAAAATGGTGAAGCATGTGGTTCTCAAGGGACCAAACATTTTTTCTGGGATTCCCGTTATGATGATGAGCTCATTCTATTTCTTGCTGACTTGGTAAGAAAGGGTTACAAACCCGACCTTCCCAACACATTAATGAGAAGTTTAACACAGTTTTTAAGTGGGATAATGTCATGCACCGCATCAAAACTCTACGAACAAAATTTCGTGATATGGAAACTTGTAGTAATCTTAGTGGTGCTGAATGGATGATAGTACAAAGACTGTCACTATTGATTCTGAATGTTTAGATAGGTGGATTGAGGTAAATAAACCCTGGTTAAAGAATAGATTTAATTTATATTCATTTTTCTTAGTTTCACTAAATTAATTAAAATATACTTTTTCAGGACAAGAGCTTTAAGAATGCTAAGCTTAGATAATATATCAATAAACCCTTGAGCCATTATGATGATCTCGCCTTTATCATCAGTGATGATCAAGCTACAAGACAATTTGCTAGTGATGCTTGAAAAAAGTTTAGCCGTAGTGAGACCATAAATCTTGGAGATGAGGCGAACTCACCAATGCATTCTCCCCAATCTACTCAAATACACATTCTAGATGACGAGGACACTCCTCCGCCTAAGGAAGCACCCAACACATCAAGTTCTAAGGCTAAGTCAACCTCCGCCAAGGTAAAGGCTCGTAAGACCAACCTAGATAGTGAGATCATGTTAAAATTGGTGGATAAGATAGATGTATTTAGCACAAATATGAAGTGTGTGAACATGCATTGGACCGAGAAGTTATCCACGGTCCTATATACTCACTCACATGACTTTAGTGTTGCCAAGTTAGATACATATTACCGTCACCTCTTTATGAATAAGCATGAATCTAGACTATTTATGGGCATATCTTCAGATGGTCAGAAAGAGATGATAGAGTCATTTCTCAACAAAGAGGATTGAAGATATAGATTATGGATGTGCATGATAGTTTATGATTCTCACTTAAGCACATTTATGTTTGAAAACTTTTTAAATTATGGTTGAAGACTATTATTGTTTGGTTTAAGACACTACTTTTCTGAGATGATGTTTATTTTTGTGGTTATCGAACAGTATGACAATGACTATTATTGTTTGGTTTAGAGACGCTATTATTGTTTGCTTACATTTTGTAATATTACCTTTCATAGTGTGAATATTATGGTGTACTAACCTTTAATTAAACTTGCGATTGCAGGATATTTATAAGTCACCATACAATTTCCTAAGATGCAAGCAACCTACAATGTGCACACATTGTACTGGATGGCTATTGCTCTGGGTATTTGGTATAGTAAGTTTTTTTTCATGAAACGAGTTTAAATTTATGACTTTTTTCTTTTAGGCTATGATGATTGTCATAATATCTAAGATTAGCAACCTGCAACATCTATTGATATTATAATGGATGACTAACAATGATGATATTGACCAAAATCTAAGCCCTCAGCCATAGTCAGTAGCCAACTCCTGATTACTTGATGTTGTTGGTTAGTACTTGATGTTGTTGGTGTGCATATGTTGTTTTTCTAGATTTTTTTTCTGCTTGGTTTTTTGTGGGCACATGTTGCCTCTATATGTTGCCTCTGTTTTGTGCAGCCTCCTTTGTTGGCTGGTGGTGATCTTGTTGTTGAGATTTGTGTTGAGGCACAGTTCTTCTGTTCAGTTTAGTATGCATTTGCTATTTTTCTGGATTTTTCTGCTGGGTTTTTTGCCACCTGTTGCCTCTGTATGTTTGTTGGTTGGTTGATGATATTGGTTGGCCTGTTGTGAGCCTGGTTATGAGCCTGGTTGTGGGAACATGTTGCCTCTATATGTTGGTTGCCTAGTTGTGTTGTTGGCTGGTTGGATGGTTGGTTGGTTGATGTTGTTGGTTGGCCTGGTTGTGAGCCTGGTTCTATTTTGTGCATCCTCCTTTGTGCAGTCTCATTTGTGTTTAGGTTTTCTAAGGTGAGCTTGGTTCTGTTTTGTGGAGTCTCATTTGTGTTCAGGTTTTCTAAGGTGAGCTTGGTTCTATTTTGTGCAGTCTCATTTGTTGACTTTTTACTTTGGGCTACGATGATTGTTAAAATTTCTGAGATTAGCCACCTGTAGTATCTTTTGATATTGTACTGGAGGTTAACAATAATGATATTGACCCAGTTCTGAGCCCTCATCCATAATCAATAGCCAGCTGCTGATTACTTGATGTTGTCGGTTGGCACTTGATATTGTTGGTGTGCACATGTTGGTTATATTTGTTGGTTGGCTGGTATTTTGTGCTTGATTTTTTGTGTGCACATGTTGGTTCTATATGCTGTTTTTTGGGTATTTTGTGCTTGGTTTTTTTGTGCATATGTTGGCTTAATATGTTGGTTGGCAAGCTCTCTATGGCTATGATGCATCAAAGACAAAAAAAGCCCTCTACAAGGACTTGCAATTGTTGGCCAAGTGGTGTTATTGCTGCTGCAGTGCGCTGAGTCTCATTGTTCCATGGATATGAGGACAAGACAGACTGGGGTAAAGAGGTTAGTTATTTTACCCTTTACATGTACCTGCTGAGATTATTATTTCTCTATGGCTTGAAAGTTCCAAGATACAAACATACCAATTTTGTTCCTTCATTATGTTAAATTCTCATGTAGTATTCCTCTCCATGGCAGGTTGTTACCTGGATCGTCGCTGCCTTATTGATAATCATCAATGCATACCTTTTACTGGATTTCTTCTCTTCTGAAGTGCAAGGATAATTTCTTCTCAATTAGGGCAACACAGGTTGGTTATCTTACTCATCAATTTCTTCCAATAATATTTTGGCAATTCCTAGATCAGAAAATTTCAGTCGTCAATCTATAATTTCAATTAGTTATCTTACACATCTGTTTGGCTTGGAATCTGGAAGTGTTACTGCATAGTTGCTGATGTAAAGGTTGACATATATGGTTTTATTTTCATTCAATTTAACATATTATACCACTATCCTCCTACAATTTAACATATTCTAGTTCTTTTGCTGCAGTACGCTGAGTCTCTTTGTTCCATGGTTATTTTTGGAGAAACCAAAAATTGATTCAGGTGGGACGTGGAACTTCCCTCCATGAATATTGCTTCTCAGCTACCTCTGTACTTTTGTGCTCAATATTTCAGTTTTCCATGGTAATCTCATGAACAAGTGCACTGACTGTTCGTGTTACTGGAGTTGTGAGAGACTGGGTGTTAGTTTTACTTTTAGGTGTAATATTCTCCGATACAAATCTGACAGCAATAAACCTCATTGGTTATGGCATTTCAGGCACAAGAGACACACTGATAACTATATTCCTTTTGCAACTGACATTGTTTTTTCTTTCAAGCTTCAAATGTGTTGTCTCTTCCCCTACTTTCATACTAGCGATAAGAGGTACTTCAATTACACTAGCATGTACCAGGTTGTGGGGTAGTGTTTGTCCAGGATTTTGTTATAGCTAATAATTAAGCAATGAAAATGAGTTCTCTTTTTGTGATACTCTCTCTTGATATTTCTCCTTTTCATGATGTCACAATGCTTTGTCCTAGCTTCAAGTTAAGATTAGAAATTCAATAAACTTGTAAATTTATCAACTTGCTATTACCTGAACTTGCTACAACTACATTATTATTTGTTCATGTTACATTAGAACTTTTATATGATTAATATTACCTCATATAACGAGCACAAATAAATTTGTATATAATGGGGGTAATCTTACCATGGTGACCATAAACACTTTTCCCTTCAAATTTCAAAACTAACCAAACACAAGAAAAGTGGGAAATGTCAAACCAGTAAAAGTTTTCCCTTTTTTTCCATGCGAACCAAACACAATAAAAGTAAATACATTGATTTCCCACCATTTTTTATGTGTGAACCAAACCGGAACAATCTAATTTTTGGAAAAGTTTAGAAAACTCAAAACTTGTGTTTTTTTACATGGAATTGCATTTCTCTATATCTAGGAAACGAACCAAACATCCCCTCAGCTTACTTAGCATGGAATTCTGCAGAGGCAGCTTCCGTTCTTCTTGCAATTTTTACGTTTGGGGATTCTTTAGCCGATGTCAGTAACAACAATTACTTGAACACTTCTACTTCTACGGCCAAAGCTAATTTCCCTCCCAATGGCATAGATTTTCCTAATAGAACGCCAACAGGGAGATTTAGCAATGGCTATAATATTATTAACTGGCTAGGTATGATATTGTTCTTGCTAACATTTCGGTATTAATTTTGTTACCTGTGCTATTTTTCTTGCATTTATATATTCTACTATATATGTACGTTCTTGCTAACATTGCCGTATAAACTTAGTAACTTGTTGTGTTATGCTAATATAAATGTTTGAACTTTTATTTGTT